CCGTGAGAGATCTGCGCGCTCCCGGGCTCGGGAAGTCGCGGTGAGTGTACTCGGCGTGCGGCGGAGACCAGCTCCCGAGAGCAGGTCGCGGGACCCGGGCACTGAGAAGGGCGGCGAGGAGGGGCGGGGGAGGGAGGGGTGACGAGGCCTTGCTGAAGCTTCGGGCAGGTCACAGGCAGAGGAGGCGGTGTGACCCGCGGCCGAGCGCCCTGCCCCCAGGACTGAGTACTTGTAGCTAGCGCTGTGCAGACCCTGCGCCCTCCTCTTCTCCACGTCTCGGGTCCTAGAGCCCAAACCCGGGCAACCAGAGGAAGACAACCCCCGCACCACACACGCGCGCGCGCGCACACACACACACACACACACACACGGAAACCGCGCGAGAGGCCCCGAAGTGACCCTTCTGCCCTTTCTCTCCTCGAAAAATCAGGGCTAAAGGAGAGTGGCGCCTTCATCCAGGAGCCAGAGGCCACTGGGACTCAGGGGCTGGTGGGAGGGAGGTTGGGAGCCGGAGAACCAGGCGGGTCGGCGAGGCCTTCTCAGGACGCCTTCGGGGACAGGGCTCAACTGCCCCGGCTCCTGCAGCCTGAGCGGTCACGCAGCCTGGTCCGACGCTGCCTGAATTTCGGGGAGTCACCGTTGAATCCGCGCATCCGGGCAAGGAGCGCAGAGCCAAGGTCACCAGGCGAGGGTTGATTCGACCCTCGTGATGGGGTAGAAGTTGGAAAACGGAGGCACAGTGGGAACTGGGCCACGGCGTCCTGGAGCTCTCCAGGGCCAGACCTACGGTCTTCTTGTCCCGCCTCCCGTCCCTGCAGCCCCGCGATAGGAATGGGTCCCAGGGTCCTCTGCACACCTCTGCAGTGGCGCTCGCACAGACCTCCACCCCTTCCTGGAGTCTGAACTCTCCGAAGCGATGCGGATTCCAGCCTGTCCCGTGTCAGGGGCAGGCTCAGAGGACACAGGACGGTCTTTTTTGGGCTTGGGGGTCCTGACGTGGCTTGGGGCCGCATGCTATAAGCTGTAGAGCTCTGAGGCTATAGGGTGCCTGACCTAGAGGTCAGCACTGGGCTGGGGACGTGCGGGCGGCGGGGCCAGGCTGGGGATTTTCGTTTCTGGTGCCACTGCTCTCTCCCCGGCTGGAGAGGAGCGCCCCGCTCCGTGCACTCACTGCGACAGGGAACCGGGAGAGCACCGCTTCCTTCTCTGCGCTAGGAGGGCCCAGCTTGAAACCACAGATCGTGCAGCTGGTGCTCCTGACCTTTCTCAGGGTCTCCTCGAAGGGCAGGAGTTCGAGGGCGTTCGAGGCAACATAGGCTTTCTTCGTGGGCTGGACAGTGTGCGCCAACTCCGGCCCAGCCTGCCGCTCGTGCGCTGCGGAACCCTCAGAGTGGATTGGGCTTTTGGGATGGTGCTCCGAAACTGCGAAGCCGCCAGAGCCAGGAACCACAGGAACTCTCACTTTCCACCGGGATTTGAATGCAGACATGCCTTCCCGTTTCCCTAGCGCTCGAGGACTGTCGAGGCAGTGCAGGAGCGGCGCGGGTACTCAGTGCTCACACCGTTCGCGCGAGGCCCTCCTGGACGCCCAGGATCCCGTGCAGGATACGGTGATAGCTGTGGGCTCAAGGCCTCAGGGAGGAAGTGCTCCAAGGAACAGGGGCTGCAGACCGAGCTCGCCTCAGCTTCCGAGGCGGCCCCGGAACGGCTCGGCATCTCCCTGACTTCGGGAGAATTTAACGCTTCTGTCACTCCCACGATTTCCGACTCTCAATTATGAACCCCGGAGAATTCCTCCTGAGCTTGAAGGGGATTACCCAGATCGCGGAAACATGGCTAAGTGGAAGCGGGAGAAACCTGACAAGTAGCAAGAACGGAAACTTTCCTCAAAGTGAATTTCCCGGATTTTACGGGACGGGGCACTTGAGCTCTGACTACCTGCTGTCCAAGCCCGGGCGGGCAGGTTTGAATCGCGCGTTTGAAGCGAGGGGTGGGGCAGGAGGGGCGCCCTACTTGCAGGCCCAGAATCTGCCCATGGAAAAGCCCAAGCAAACATTGTATCGCCCTCCCTCAACCATTTTTTACAACAAACACGCACACGCACACGCGGCTTTGGATCTGGGCTTCCCACAAGCGCCTCCGGAAGTATCAAAAGTACGTGGGCCGGATCTCAAGGTCTCCCGGGTGTGAAGGAAGACCCGTCGCCAGGAGAAAAGCCTGGGCTCCTCGGAGGACTCTCCGGAGGCCCTCAGGTGCTGGGTCGGGTAGAACAGTGGAAAATTCTGTTTAAACTGGAAAAGCACCGAGAACGTGTTCCCTGGAGGAGTCAGGAACGTCTGCGGTGACCTCGGGTTGGGATCCCTGCTACGTGTTCCTGTCTCCTGGCTACGGATTCTGCGCCCATTGAGCCTAAAGCCCGAGGTCTCTCCCTGAGTGCTAGAATAGCCTCTCAGGCCCCAGAGGATAGGCCAGACCACCGCCCACTCCCCACCCCCAAACAGCGATTCACTTACTGGCCTGGATGGAGTCTGTAGAATCCAGAATGAAGGGAGGTTGAGGGCACGAAGAAGACGAGTGGAAATAGAAGTGGGACATGGGTCCCGGGCTTGGGGTGCCCCCACCCCCAGTGTGCTCTGCTGCGGGGAATATACCCCTGGGTACTCCACCTCCTAGAAATTTTCCATTAGGAAACTGATCTGGAAGAAATTCAGTCCCTAAGAGGAAAAGGGTGATGGGGGGGGGGGCACACCTGCTTGGATTTTCTGCTTCCCATGCTCCACAACTGTTTTTCCCCAGGCTGGGCCAGTGCCCACCTGAGGCTGATCCCTGGCAGCAACCAACTCTCTTGAGAGATCCAGGTTGGGGGCAGGGGAGGATAGGACCGCTCAGATGTTCCACGTGGATGTGCCTCAGGAGAGGCTGGGGCACAGGCACGGGGCAGGAGATCAGAGACCTTGTCACTCAGAGGTGGGCAGAGGGGGAAAGTCCTCCCAAGCCTGGCCCTGGATTTCTCACCTTTGCAGTGGAGTTTAAGGAGAACTTCAACCTGAGCAAGCAGAGTTAACCAAAAGTACAAGCTATGAAAACTCGAGATGGTTTGATTTATAAGCCCTTGTCTACACCGGCAATTAGTACTGTATGGCTGCTCCAGAAAACCTTGTCCAGCGTCCTGCATCACACGTGTGACTACCTCACGACTGGGAGGGTTTTTTTGGTCTCAGTTACCAGAACGAATATCTTGAGTTTTTTCACTCTTTTCCTTGTGTACGCCATGAGGAGATGTCACCACCATCCTTGGGATCATTGCTACTCCCAGAAAAAACGGGCAACTGCAATGCTTATTACTATTCATTGTCTGGAAGTATCCAGAGCTGTTTCATAGTAATTGATTCCTCCACAGTAACTCATTCGTTCCCGGGTAGTAAAGGGAGAGACGTGTATTTCTTTTTGTCTTGAATAAAGTCTTTCACTGAAAGTGACTCCTTTGGAGAAAGTGTTTGCTTTTAGGTTGGTCGGGGTATCTGCTTATTTGACATCGTGCACTCCAGGGTCCGTTGCCCTCCGCAGGGATGACGAAGCCTCAGCTCAGTCTCCTTCCAGAGAGAGCCAAGGGAGGCAGGAGGATTATTCTCACCTCCTGAGGCGCCTCTGTGGGAGAGGTGTTGCTTGACCCAGACATGGCTCTCCTCCCCCGGAACCTGTGAAGAGCGAGGTCCTTTTTCTTGGGTTTGGGGGACCAGACTTCAGGTTCCGGGACTCCAGGCAGAGAAAGCCTGCGGGCAAGTGCCCCTTTCCTCCCGAGGGACCGTAGCAGATGTATACTTCGCCTCCTCCCTTAAGGCATTACTCTTAGGGGAACAAAAACGTTAATGTCCCTTGTAATTAATTATAGTGATTAGCAAAGTCCCTGATCAAGGGCCGCAGAGAGCGACTGAATCCGCTCCTGGGTTGGCCAAACAGGCTTTGTAATTTCCTCGCAATTTTACCTGGGGAATTAGCGGTAAAGTCCAACCCTTTGCATTTCCCTTCCTTGTCTCCCAAGCACAATCCTGCTTTCTCCTTGTTCTCTAAGGTATCAGGACCCCCAAGAGGCCCTCCCCAGGTGCACAGACGTCCTGGGGGAAGGGATCGGTCTGGAGTTCCTAACAGGAACAGCGCTCTGCGCGAGCCAGGATTCGCGGCGGAGGAAGAGGGAAGCCCGGCGGTATCGCGACCACCTCCTCCAACCCTTCCGAGGCCGCCCTCTCCTGGAGTGCTCTCAAGGAGAACCGGCTCCTCAAAATCCCGGGAAGGAAAGCTGCAGCCCAGCCGCTCCCGGCAAAGCCCTGTTTTCCCCTGGAAACGATCCCCTGGGCTCCCAGGAGTCCCGAGGAAGCCCTGAGCTGAAGGGGTCTTAGTCGGGTGTGCACTGAAATTCCTTAGTGGTTACATCAATGCAAACCGCCTTGAAATCTGAACACCGATAAGTTCATTAACGAAGTAGCTGAAACACCCTTTCGAAAACGTCAAACAAAAAACGCCTTTTAAGAGACAAAACCTATTCACGTGAAATAAATATTTCCGCACATCAAAGAAAGCACAAATACGATGGACTTAATATTTTAGTACTTAAAAATAATAATAGTCAACCTTTCAACCAAGGCTGACCATAATATGGGGCTGTTATAGTGCTCTAAAGACACAAACTCGTTTCATTTCATT